AATTGGGTCACCTGCCCATTACTGAACCAATCACCAGCAAGGAGGTAAAATCATCCCCTTCTTTTCTGGAGTTTGTGGTGAGTTCCCACACCCTTCAAAGCACTGAAATTCATGCTAATAAACTGAATAGACAGCTCTTAAAAGACTACAAATAGCCATTAAATAAATGAAAAAAATATTCAACACCTTTAGCCATTTTAGAAATGCAAAACTATGTTAAGATTCCATCTCTGTTGGAGAGATGGCTCAGCAGTTAAAAGCACTAACTGCTCTTGCAGACAATCTGGGTTCGGTTCCTAGCACCCTAGATCTGTTAAGAACTATCTGTGACTCCAGTTCCAGGGGTTCTGACGCCATCTTCTGGTCTCTGCAGGCATTGCATGATATGGGTGCACTCACATACATGCAAGCACACACTCATACAAATTAAATAAATAAACAATTTTTTTTAAAGATAATGTCTTACAGGCATGGTCAGAGGCTAACCTAATCTACATAACCCTTACAGGTGTGCTTGGTGCCTTGTCTTCAATGTGATTTTTAGGTCCTGTCAAATTGACAGCTCCAACTATCACTTTATGGCTGGTGGAAATGTAAACAAGTGCAGTTACTATGGAAATCAGTATGCAGGAGCCTCTAAAAAGGTAAAACTGGGGCTGGAGAGTTGGCTCAGCAGTTAAGAGCACTGACTGCTCTTGCAGAGGACCCAGGTTCAATTCCCAGCACCCACATGCCGGCTAACAACCATCCTAACTCCAGTTCCAGGGGATCTGAGGCCCTCTTCTGACCTCCGTGGGCACTGCACGACACAGGTACACTTACACACATGCAGGCAGTATACTCATACACATAAAATAAAAATAATAAATAACCATAAAAGCAAAACTAAAACCATATGAGCCAGCTACACCACTCCTGAGTATATGCCTGAAGGAATCTAAGACTAAACAAAGATGTCTACACTCACTGCAGTACTATTCATAACAGCCAAGTTGTGGTATCAGCCGAGATGCCTGTTAACAGATGAACGCTTATACAAAGTGCATACAAACACAATGGAGTTTTACTGAGCCTTAAAGCAGAGTGAAATCATGTCGTTTTCAGGAGAATGGATAGAATTGAGCTAGTTACACAAAATAGGTCAGACTTAGACAAATACTCTGAATATAAATTTAAAAAACTACAACACACACACACAAAACACCCCCATATAAAACATGAAAATGCCAGATGTGGTAGCACAGGTTTGATCTCAGTGCTGGGGCACAGAGATGAGAGGATCCCTGGAACTCTCTGGTCAGCTGCTCGAAGCCTAATTGATGAATTCCAGGCCAATAAGAAACCCTGTCTCAAAGAAGGTGGGTGGCATTCCTATGGATGACACCTTTGGTTGTCCTCTGGCCTCCATACACATGAGCATGTGTTCCTGCACACACATACACACACACACACACACACACACACACACACACACTCACAAAGGGGCAGGGTAGGTAGCAGCTGATACCTGATATTCCAGTATATAGAATGTCTCCCTGAAGAAATGAATCAATATTAAGTGCTTCCACCTTGTAGATACCTTATTAGGCACTTGGGTTTCCTATGCCTGACAATCAGAGGATGATAACTTCCTTGCAGAGGATGGAGCAGGCTGTACAGAGGGATTGGTCCAGGATTGCTATTCAGTATCACAGAGTGACGCTTGGGTGAAAACTCAAGCTGAATCCCAGAACCAAGATATTTCCACTACCACCACATGAAGAGTTGGAATTAGAATGTTTCAAAAAAAAAGGCGGGGGGGATCACAGGGTCATTTTGTCCTGAAGCATGTGAGTCCTCACTGGGATACAGTTAGTGCAAAGGGGATTTTGAAGATTACTTGTTTTGTAATTCGTACTTTGAGCTTTTTGCCCAGAGATGGGAAGAAATTACTCTAGAAAGGGAAGCACCCATATTCATTGTAAAGAATGTCTACCAGAGGGAACCAAAGACACAGGGCTGGAATCTTAAGGTTCTGCTAATTGTAAGTTCTTGCAAAACCTTTGCTGATTAAGACTGCTTTTGTTCCAGGTTTATTTAGCAGTTCTTAAGCAGCCCTCCTAGCAGCCTGCTGAAATGGTGCTTATTCCTCAGTCTTCTGCTCTGTCGTCCCCTGATTTGATGGATGGATGGATGTGCACTGGTTAGTTTTTGTCAGCTTAACACAAATGAAAGTCACCTAGAAATCTTCTCTATCAGACCACCTGTGGCCATGTCTGTGAGGCAGTTTTGTTGTCGTTGTTTTGAGATACAGTCTCCCTGTAGCCTCAGCTGGCCTGAAACTCACTAGTAGGCCAGGCTGGCCTTGAACTTAGAGATCCACCTGCCTCTGCCTTTTGAGTGCTGGGATTAAGGACACACACCATCATGCCTGGCCTATGAGGCATTTTCTTGATTGCTAATAGACTATAGGAGGGCTCAGCCTACTGTGGGCAGTACCATCCCTAGGTGGTGAGCCTGGATTATGTAAGAAAGGTACGTGAGCAAACCAGAAACAGCGCAGTAAGCAGCGTTCCTCTATGATCTCTGCCTGAGTTCCTGCCTCCAGGTTCCCACCCTGCTTGAGTTCCTGCCTTGACTTCCCTCAGTAATGGACTGTGACTGGGACATGTAAGTAAAATAAAGCTTTCCTCCTCAAGTTGCTTTTGGTTAGTGTTTTCTCACTGCAACATAAAGCAAATTAAGACAGTACGTATCCATGCATGCATGTATCACACAAGTCTCCTTCATAACCTGGGCTGGACTTGAACTCTTGATCTTCTTTCCTCAGTCCCCCGGGTTTGGGATTACAGGTATGTCCCACTTCAGTCCATCACTTATTAGTCCAATTGCGCTTTCTTTCCTGAACGTGACACTTTCCTGTTTGCCTTTGCCTTTGTCACTCCTCCAGTTTATAATGTCCCCTGTGAAGAGCTGTAGGCTCTGGTCACTGGAAGGGTTCCAGAGGCCTGCCAAATCTACCTTGGGCCTGAGAGCTTTAACATTGGATGCATTTAAAGGCTGGGAATTCTGGCATTATGGGCTTGAGAATTCTACGTCTTATTACAGTAGGGTCACAGCATTCAAGGGCTGTATGAAGGATTTGTTTGTTTGTTTTATCAACACAGGGTCTCCCTGCAACACCAGGTGGCCTGGAACCTGCTATGTAGACCAGGGTGGCCTCAGTCTTACAGAGATCCACCTACTTCTGCCTCCCAAGTTCTGGGATTAAAGGCATGGACCACCACACCTGGCTCTGTGTTAAAGTTTTAATGGCAGAAGGTGCCACCTGCTGTTGCTTGGTACTGTCTGTTGTCATCACCCACTGCTGCTGAAAGTCAAGGATTACAACAGCTATCAAGTGCAGGGGTCACTGGTAGTTTAAAGCCCAGCACGATAAGCCTCTAACCTGAGCACCTAAAGCCACGTCTCTGGCTTATAAACCTTGGAGCAATAGGCCTCCTAGCTCTCAGGGCTTGGAGTTATGAGCTTCTGGTTTGTACAGTCCATTCCTTCGGCTTTGAACACTCAAGAGCCCAGGACTGGCAGCACCCTCAGCTAATTGAAAGCAAGGAATTAATAGACACAGGCCACTGTGCTTCCCTCATTCTGTATCCAACAGCCCTGAGCATTAAGTGAGAGGCTCTAATAGGCTCAGCTTGGATGCCCACATTGGTGGAAGCAAGGAGGAGGTTCTTAAATTAGTGGGCAACGAGGTACTCCAATAATGTAGAGGCTCCCCAGAACTGGAGAGGAGGGAGTGCTACATCCTGACTAATAACACAAGTAAATGTGAGGATTTGTAGTCCGGCGCTTTTCTACTATCTAAAGAGGGGCATGAAAAGAAGACAGCGAAAGAGTTTTATCCCTTGATAAAGGTGAAATAGAAAAGAGGAAGAACAGTCAGTGCGCCTAATTTTTTTCCCACGTCTAATACCGTGGAAGGCAAGAAACGAAGGGAAATGGACCACAAATTAGGTTTGTAGTCAGCAAAAGTCACCTGGGCTGAAGGTTTAACACCTGTAGGATTTTCAAGTCCTTTGGAATCACGTGTACCTTGCCGGTGGATCCAGACTGGCCAATATACAGCAAAGGAGGTCGTATGAGTCAGTTTCTGGCCTAGATACTTGAAGGGGTCTGACAGTTTCTACTTTGCTTCATTCACTATGTAAGCAGCCTAACTAGCCTGCGATCGCCATGCTGTGAGGAAGCCGGATCAGCTATTTGGGGAGGCTTCTTTGATTCTGATGAAGCCACAGAAACTGACAACTGGCAGAAGTCAGTGAGAAATGGTAGCTGATGAACCAGTACTGTGCCCTTGCCCCACCTCCCTTGTGGTGGTTCTCCTTTGCCCGTGGATGAATGTTGGTTGGCAGATGGCTTGCACCCAGGACTTTTCTCCTATCCCACTTCTTGTCCCACTTCTGTTCAAGTGGTGGCATTAACTGAGCTGTGTGACCTTGCTCAAGTCAACTTCTCTAGGCCACAATTTTCTCATATGTAAAATAAGGAGGTAGGAGCCTGGGGATATAGCTCAGTGGTAGTGTTTTCCTAGCATGCGCAAGGTCCTGTTTTTGATCCCTAGCTTTACAATAAAATGAAGAGATGGGATTCAGCTTATGATTTTAGAAAGAGGTATCTTAAACAGGAGGAGGGAGGGAGGGAGGGAGAGAGAGAGAGAAAGAGAGAGCGAACAGGAGATGGAAATCTGTGTCCCAGACATAGCTGGGCCCAGCCATGCCACTGATTATATTGTCTTTCATCACAAAGAAATTTGGTTAGATATTCTCCAAAGCTGTGGTATATGCCAGCTCTAAGCAAGGGCTCTACTACGTCCTTTTAGAGAGAAAACTTGAGTTCAGTCACTCTAGACTCCGTATCACTATTCTCTCTCCTTTTTTCTTCTGTGGAACATTTCTCCCTGGTAGTATTTTTAATAGAAAATAGATATTTTATTTTGTTTATACAAGGCATTTAAAATATAAATCATATACACTGTATAGATATGATAGACAAATAAGTATAAATATAAATGCATATATGTGTAAAAGGTCACTGAGTTCAGTTGTGTGTGTCCTGAATCCTTAAACAGAAGGATTCATTGGCTCAGCATCTCTTCTGCCTTTCTTGGCTGCCTAGAGCCAAGTCTCTAGAGCTCAAGTACTGTTGTCTTCTCTATAGACCTCTTCTGTGCCAGTAGGAGCTGTAGAGTGAAGCAGGAGCCTCAGGCTCACTGCTATTCTCTAGAGTGAAGTTAGAGGCCTTGATGGAGAGGATGAGACTCTCCCAGGAGAGCTCTACCTACTTGCACTTTGGGAAGTGACCTCTGTCCTGAGGCCAGATGGAAGGGTAGTGGCCTTCCAGGTGGTGGAGAACCCAGGTGTGTATATGGGGGGTGTCCAGGCATAGCCAGTAGGATCACACCAAGGACCTTGGATTATCACAGTAGGCTTTCCCTGGTGTCCAGCTCCTTGTGCCTTATGCAGGGACTCCTTAGCTAACACAGAGCTGGCTTCTTCACTTCAGACGTAGCTAGGCAGGCTCCCCTGAGTTTCAAAGGTCATGTGGTTAGGTTCCCATGTCTTCCTCTTTGGTACTGGTCCTCACAGTCATTGGCACAGCTTCCATGGTTTCCACCTCGACGCGAGGTGGCCGGGAAGTTTGCCTATAAAGCAGATTATTCACAGCTTTAAAAAAAAATTTTATTACTTTTAGTTTATGTGTATGAGTGTATTGCCTGCATGTATGTAAGTGTACCTGTGTCACGCAGCGCCCACGGAGGTCAAAAGAGGCGTCAGATCCCCTAGAACTGGAGTTGTGGGTGGTTGTTAGTCACCATGTGGGTGCTGGGAATTGAACCCTGGTCCTCTGCAAGAGTGGTCAGTGCTCTTAAACACTGAGCCGTCTCTCCAGCCCCCCTTCCACAGGTTTTTGAAAAGAGGTCAGGACAGCTATGTAGTCAACATACTTATTGAACACGTGTGACCAGTACTGAGTGCATTCTATTAGTGGGCATCAGCACCATCCCCAGCGATCTGTACTTCTCAGAGCTGGAAAAACTCACAATGGAAATGTGCAGATAGCAAGTATCTGAATCCTATTTGGGTATTTTCAACCTGGCCATTCAAAGCTTTACCAATGTTGCTGAAACAATCCATGCCACCCCACTCTTACCCCCAACTTTACCAATCCTCTGCTAAGAAGCAGTGTAGCTGATGAGGAAGGAGACAGGAGAGTAGCTGGTCAGAGCTTGGCCAGACCATACTTTATTATGTTGATGAAGATGACTGAATATTCATGACCAAGTAATCACACTTATCATAGTATCAATTTTTGGATGTGCTTTAAAATATTGTGAATAATATTTATGTTTTCCTCTTATGATAATATTTATTGGTTATGTATACTTAATTTACAATTTTTAAAGAATGTAACATATTATTCATTAAAAACATAGTATGTATATTTCTGAACATATCCAGTAATTGTTATCTCTGAGGAATATACCTTATTATGTGGACCAGGCTGGCCTTGAACACACAGAGATCCACCTGCCTCTGCCTCCTGAGTCCTGGGATTAAAGGTGTGTACCATCATGCCTGGATCTATAACAATATTTTGAAAATCCTTTAAAGTCACTTCTATTTTGTAAGCATTTAGAATTTTTTGGAATTTTTAATGAAATTCTTGAATATATACTAGCATTATTAATTTATAAACTACTTACAAGGTTTATAGTATTTCTTACTGACTGATAGGTATTAGTAGTTTTCAAGACTAATGTGACATTTAGATAACTGGTTTTCTTTTTGGCTTAATGGCAACAGCTCATAGAATGTTCACTGATCAAAATTAGGCTCAGTTTAGAAATACTGGTGCTTTGCCAGCTCAGTTACGTTCCTGGCCTAAGTCACATGATTTTTATTTATTTTTTGTCTTTTTGAGACAGGGTCTCCTGGTAGCTCTAGCTGGCCTGGAACCTTACGTAGACCAAGCTGTCCTTGATTTCACAGGGATATACCTGTCTCTGCCTCTTGAGTGCTGTAATTAAAGGCGTGGGCCACCATGCCAGCTTATAATTTTTCTTTTTAAAGGCAGTATCTCACTATGGCTGGCCTGGAAATCACTCTGTAGACCAGGTTAGCCTGGAACTCACAGAGATCTACCTGCCTCCGCCTCACAAGTACTAGGTTTCAAGGTGGACACCACCATGCCCATCCCAAGTTATATAATTTTTATATCGAGATACTAGTTGATATTTTACTACTAGTAACTGAAAGTTCAGTTTCAAGCAATCTGATATTCACTCATGTATTAATGCTGATGCATGCTTGATATGAAATCAACAACCATGTCATCTAGTTACTAAATGATTAAATGATAGAAGTGCAAAATCAGAACTTATGTGCCATTAGGTTTGAATGCAAGAATGATAAATAAGCCTAGAGATTAGAAGAATGAAAAACACAAAAACTGGAATGCCAGCGAGTGGTAAGACGCTGAAGTGTTGGTTTTCAATGATTAGAAACAAGAAATTAAGGCCGACGTGCGTGTGTTTATAAGGTGCAGCCTGTGAGGAGAACATGGTCAGGAATGTGTCATAAGAAGAACCTTTGGTAGATTGACCTCCTGCATCATAGGCCCTGCTCCAGCTGCCCCAGCTTGAATGTGTGTTCTGAGAACTGTGTGGGATGTGAAGGGCTCTACAAGGCTGGCTCAGTCCCACCTGGCTCTGGTTAGCTGCTACAGGAGGAGTTGAGTGTGAAAGTTTAGTCAGGAGATGGGTTCTTCTTTTGAGAGGGCATCTGAAATCTTAGGATAGAGCTCTTTTCTGGAAAGGAAGAATTTGATCCTGAAATTCTCCTATGTCACTCACCTTGATCTGAGGTAGCATGCCAGTAAAACCGCAAACACTATAGAACCCAGGATGAAAGATGTGGAGACGGCCACTGAAAAAGAAAAGAACTAAGCCAGAACCATGCCAGAGTCCCCACAAAGGCATTCACTGCTAAGAACTGGTAAACCCCAGTTAATGTCCATTCTTACCTGGACAAATGCCCTTCCAAACAGTTTGCCATTATTAACACTTCTGGGGGCTGCAGAGATGGCTCAGTGTTAAAAGTCTATACTACTTTTGCAGAGGACCCAAGTTTGGTTCCCAGCACATATCAGGCAGTTTGCAACCACCTCTAACTCCAGCTTCAAAGTATCTGACACCCTCTTTTGGTCTCTGTGGGCACCTGCACTCACGTGTACAAACTCTCTCACACACACAATTAAAAATTAATCAATTAATCTTTTTTTATGTCTGTTTGATACGGGGTCTACCTGTAGTCCCAGCTGACCTGAACTCACTATGTAGACCAGGATGGCCTCAAATTCACAGAGATCCGCCTGCCTCTACCTCCCAAGTGCTGGAATTAAAGGCATGCACCACCACGCCTGGCGATTATAGATAATCTTTGCTTTCACTATTTCTTTTTTGTTGCCCTCATACTTCTGTAATGACACTGTAATCAGAAGAAACAGCAAAGTTATAGAAAGCAGACATCTTTTCAGTAAGTAAAATAAGCATGGCCAAGTTGTTACAAAAGAAATATTAGGAAACACTAGAAAGTAATGAAAGATGTCTTGAGTTCTCAGACTTATCATTAATCATCATTATGACTGGAAAAGATGTCTAGCAGACGTGTTGCATGCTACGGTAAACCATGTGTCCACGTTGGCTGGTAGGCTTAGCATGTGTTTACTGTTGAGTAGTGGGTGTAGATAGTAGCTCCACTTTCACAATGCTTCTTTCAATTTCTTTTTGAATGAAGATCAAAATCCCAGCACTCCGGAGGCAGAGGCAGGCAGATCTCTGTGAGTTCAAGACCAGCCTAGTCTACATAGTGAGTTTCAGGCCAGCTGGAGCTACAGGGAGACCCTGTCTCAAAAAAAGACCAAAAAAAAAAAAAAACCCAAAAAACTTCAGAATCATAATCAGGAAAGAAGGCCCCTAGGCCAGTGATGTCAGAAAGCCATTTTCAGTGGCTTAATGCCTGTCTCCAATTATATCCACACAAAGTTGGTCAAGAAATTGAAACCAGACTGAGACAATGAATTAACAGATCATTTGCCAAGTTCTCCACCCTGTTGGAGGGTGGAAGGAAAAAGGAAGAGACTGAGATTTGGTATGATAAAGGAGAAGAGGTGAGGAAGGAGAGGACAGAAAGGAAGGAAGGTGATGATACAGAGGCCATGAGGCCCCCTTTCACTTCCGCACACAGTGGAGGTTGGGTCTAAGGTGGGGAAGGCAGCAGAGGCAGCCATAGCCAGTATTTGGGGAGAAACGCTGTGTGTGAATAGAGAGGGACCAGTCATTCCTTAGCAGCACCCTGGCAAACCAGGTCAGTCCCGCAGGAGCAGCACTGACATCACCGTGGGCACAGTGCTGTGAATCTGAGTCAGGGGACAGTATCGCTGAAGGAAGAGCATCCACCCATTACTCCTGGGCTATGGTTTCTCTTCTCTCTTACTGTCATAGGCACACAATAAGAGATGGGCTCAGGACTGAGGATGTACTTAGAGTACTTGTCTATCATGAGGCCCCAGGTTCTGTCCCTAGCACTGAAAATGTAACATGGTGTTGGGTTCAAAACAGAGACTAAATAATTGCTGCAGTTCAACCTTTAAAATTCCATGAATTAAAGTAAATTTGAAGTGGGGTGTGTGTGTGTGTGTGTGTGTGTGTGTACATTCTTGTGTGTGAGTTTGGGCATGCTTGGCCTATGCACTTGTTAGAGGTCAAAAGAGTGAGTGTGGAAACAGAGGACTACCTCAGGTGTCAGCCTTCACTGTTCCCCTGGTTTAGACAGGATCTCTTGTTCTCCAATGCATACTCCGGGCTAGCTGGCCCTAGAACTTCTGGGAACTCCCCTGTCTGCCTCCTATCTCGACTTAGAAGCATTAGGATTACAGATGTATGTTACCATGCTCAGCTTTATGTGGATTCTGGGGATTTGAACTCAGGTCCTCACACTTGTATGCCAAGTGCTTTTACTTATTGAGCCTCAATATTTGTTTTTAATGAGAAACCAGTATTTCAGAACAGCTTATGACTCTCCCTGGTAAAGAGTACGTACTTAATCTCATTGAACAAGTGGATAAGTGATGTAATGACAGGAGCATTTCCCACCAAATGTGTAGCAAATTTATAACAGATATGAAAAAAACTCAAGGCACAATAACACTCTGGAAAATAACCTCTTTCCTCCTAGAGGCCTGTGTATGGCAGTGTAAACGCTATCACAGTTGGTGTGCTACAATTGTATTTTGAAATCAGGAGTATTGGGCTAACAAGATGGCTCAATCGGTAAAGGCGCTTGCTGCCAAGTCTGGGGATCTGAATTCAATCCCTGGAATCCACATGGTGGAAGGAAAGAAACTACTCTTATATGTTGTCCTCTGACCTCTGCATACAATGAATGAATGAATGAATGAATAAATAAATAAATAAATAAATAGTAAATAAAAAATCAGGAGTGTTCAATAATAGCCTAGTTGAAGAACAGATATGAAATACAGAGATAATTGATGAAAGGACAAGTGAGCCAGCAAATAATTAAAACAGTGAAACTAGCCGGGCGGGGTGGCACATGCCTTTAGTCCCAGCACTTGGGAGGCAGAGGCAGATGGATATTTGTGCATTCAAGGCAAGCCTGGTCTACATAGTGAGTTCAGGTCAGCTGGGGCTACGGGGAGACCCTGTCTCAAAAAGACAAAAATAAATAAATAATAAATAAATAAGTAAAAAATAAAAACAAAACACTAACATAACCCAAAGAGTGCGTAAAATGATCAGTGGTTGTAAATTTGCTGGGGAGCAGGAACGAGAGAGAAAAATCAGAAGGTTTAGAGAAAGCATTTCAAAGACTTTGGGTTTGCTTTCTAAGACAGATGGTCTTAGAAACTCTGCTGCTGAAAAAGTACATGGCAGGCAGGGCATGGTGGCACAGGCCTTTAATCCCAGGCAGAGGCAAGCCTGGTCTACATAGTGAGTTCCAGGTTAGCTGGGGCTACAGGGAGACCCTATCTCAAAAAAAAGAAAAAAGAAAAAGCACATGGCAAATGGTATTGACATTAACAAAAGTCATCATCACTACTCAACAGTAGGACATGGTCAGGGCGTCTGAGAGGCCCCAGGACCCATAGGGGAGTGAAGATGGGTTGTACAACATTTCTACCTGTTCATGGTGATCGTCCAGCAGGGCTGGATCAAACTGGGGTTGCCTGCCACTGATCGGTGAACAATATGTGCTCTGAGGTCAGCAGGACTATGTTCAGAGTCCAGCTGTGTGGTCTTGAAAAAAATAATGTCACTTTTTTCTGCTTGCTTCCTCACTTAGGAAACAAAACAAAAGTAATGGTTCTCACCTTGTGGGTAGCAACTAAAGAATTGTACACGATGTGCTTAGCACAGTGCCCAAGAAGCTGGCGCTGCCGCCATCCACACCATCAGGCCTCTCTTCTGGGCTGCCTGGCCAAACCATGTAGTTTTACAAAGGAAAGTGAATGCCTGTGGGGTAAGTGCGCTTCCTGAGGCCGAGGGGAGAGCCAGGGTCAGGACTGGACTCTGCTATAGTACCCTATAGAATGGCAGGTCCTGGAGGAACTGCTAAGGGTCCCAAGACATGGCATTCCCAGGTGGGTGTGGAGCTCTGAGTCCTCAGAAGCTGCCTTTTAAGGGAGGTCAAGTGCATTTCTACCTCTGCCATCTAGGAGAGTAGGCACAGTAATCCATTTATTTTTCTTCATGTTTTCTAAGCCAAGAGTGGCAGAAATGTAGCTTTCTGTTAAACGGGGGCATGTTCTAAACATGAAAAAGCTATCTAATCACAAATTTATAAATTTTAAAGAAAGGAAAATACCCTGTAAAATCAAGGCCATCTGCTGGCCCTGTAACT